AAAATTTTTTTCAACTGAAATTTGATGATGTACAATTTAATGTATTCTTTCAATGTTTACATTATATAGTATAACATACATAAGTACAATACTTGATTACTAGTACATAATAATAACCAGTTATGATGTATTGTTATTATATTATCCCTTGTGAAAAATCCCAGCAAGATCTTATAAGGTTTTTCATGATTTCACATGATTATACAAGAAAACATAAGATAGTAATCTTGTAAAATCTTAACACAGAAATTCTTGCAAATTCTTATTTAAGATTTGATAAGATTTGAACAACCTGTCAGATCTTGTGAGATCTATCATAACTATAATTCTTGTAAGAATTTTAAAGATCTTATGAATAAAGGAATATGTCAGAAAATGTAAGATCATGCCTCACTTAAATCTTGTAATACCACACCTTGTAAGAACTAAGATGATCTTGTTAAATTGAAATCTAATAAGATCTTACAAAATCTAGTAAGTTTATGATCTTGAAGAATCATCCATGATCACACGACACATAAGATCACTCATTAAGTCATAAAAGATCTTGAAAGATCTTACAAATTGCATGACGTCACAGGAAGTGGTAGACAACCCACGATAGCCTTTACGATAATGGCAGTATATAAAGAAAGTAAAATTTCAGCATAATTAAGTCAAAAAGTTAATGAAGTTCACATCATTAAGTAATTCATTTATGCAATGTAAGATCTTGCTCAGATCTTACTGTAAGATCTTGCTCAGATCTTACTGTTACATCTATTTTTCATAAGCTGAAACTTAATGTAAGAACTCAGCTAATATTTTAAAATCTTGATAAAGCAAGATCCCATGATATCTTTCATGTTCTTTGTTTCAAAATCAGGTAAGATCTTGCTGTGATCTTAAGGTAAGATCTTGCTGTGATCTTCTAAGAATTTGGTAAGATCTTGAGAAAGATCCTGTAAGATCTTGCTTACATTTTGATAGCAAGATCTAACACTATCTTACATAATCCTTGTTTCAAAATCAGGTAAAATCTTGTGAAATATTAGCAAGAATCTTGTTAAGATTTTTAAAGAAACTTAACAAGAATCTTGCTGGGATTTTTCACAAGGGATAATATACTTACCAGTTCCTTCCATAATTCATTGTTAATATCAAATATCCAAATATCAGAAGTAAAATACCCACCCACCAATAGTAGGTGTGGTCCTGAGCTAGTGTTAATCAATACACTGGAATGAGCACATCTTTTCTTAGGCCATTGTACTGATCCTCCAGGATTAGATAACTTTGAACAATTCTAAAAGAATAAAATAAAGTTTAATTATCATAAACCACACCCACACACTCAGTGCTGTGAAAAATACTATAGGGCACCTTTTTTCGAGGGCTATAGGTTTCGTGGATTTTAATTTTGCGGATTTAATTTTCGCAAATTTATGCTGTCTGCCATCTTGTACTGTATTAATTTGATTTTTGCAGAAGTGATTTTCGCGAATCTTGAAAAAATTGCGAAATCCACAAAATTCACAGCTCTCGAAAAAAAGTTGCCCTACGGCAATACACACATACAATACATTATTAATTAATAATTAATGTAATTATACTAATAATACACTCACCACTGATGTATCAGTAAAATTTAGAATATATACATTGTCACTCCTTTCATTA